CTGAAAACTTAGTCAAATTAGATGTTTTAAGAATGTCTCAAGGGACAAAAATAGAGACAGAGAGGTGGCAAGGTATAGGCGGGCATTTCAGAACTTAAGGTCTAGGCAGCTAAAGGCATTGCTCCTACATGGAGTGATTATAATTGGGAATGTTTAAGGTGTCTGAATTGGAAGAGTCCAGGTATCTCAGAGGATTGTTGGGCTGGAGAAAATTATAAAAATAAGGAGGTCCAATTAACAGGGAATTGAAAACAAGGTTGAGAATTTCCAATAAAAACGAAAAGAACTACAGATGCAGTTTTCCCAGCTACCATCAGTTCTGAGGAAGGGTCACCGAACCCGAAACATTAACTCTGATTTTTTTTTTCACAGATGCTGCCAAACCTGCTGAGCTTTTCCAGCAACTTCTGTTTTTGTTCCTGTGACTTTTCAAATTCAGCCACAGCTCAACCCAAAGCACAAGTATGAGTCAGAAAGAACAGAATAAATAGAATAAGAGTTAGACAAATTTGGTTAAGCACCAGTTACGGAAAATAGAAGTGGAAGATTGGCCAGGAGTGCATTGGAATAGTCAAATTGAGAGATAGCAAAGGTGTGGATAAGGATTTCAGCAATAGAGAAATGGAACGGGGTCAAGTCAAGTAATTAACAGAATTGGAAATAGGTGGTCTGAGTAATGGCATGAATGTATGGTCAGAAGCTGATCTCAGAGTCAAACATGATATCAAAGTTGTAAACAGTGTAGTTTAGCCTCAGAAAGTTTCCACCAAATGGCTGAACAGGAATTTCTCCTGTTCTTATCTCCTGCATGCATTCAATGGATTTGCAGGTTGGTCTCAACCTGTTTGGTCACATTATGAACATAGTTCCTCAGCCATCATGTCCTGGAGTGGGATTTGAACCTACAGCTTCTGGCTCAGAGGCAAAGATACAACCCACAGCACCACAAGACTTCTCCAAGAATTGCAACCTGTAGAGCTTTGGGGCTGCAGCACCCATGGCCTTCATTGATATGTATCAAAATTAGTTGCAAGGGCCCTCTGGGTAAAGGAACCTCTATCGTGAATTTAGTTATATTATTTTTGTGGTAAAGAAATCAGTTTTTAAAGTAGCATTAATATCATGAAAACTGATGTAAGTTCTCATTCATCAATAAAGCTGGAGTATCTTTTCTATAATATGTTTCTTTTTGGAAATGTTTAATTTACCTCTTGAAGAGTGCCTCAAACTTTTCTCTTCATACAGCAGCAATATCTTGCCTACCTCCTCTCACCCATCCACTGCTCACTACTTTCTTCTGACCTTGTGTAACCTGATACAAAACCTTTAAGTAATATTTTATGTCCTCCATAAATGTAAATTAGCATTATGAATCAGGTAATAGTTAATCACAACTTACATTTTGACATGGAGAATAACATGGAGACCCTTAGCTGTTCAAATCAAAAATTTTAATCGGTAATTGTGCCTTTAATTGTCTCTGAGTTACCTTTCTTCCTATGTTCCATTTTTGAGATATTAGATTGCACAAGGAATGCACTAAGGGAATTTTTCACTTTTAGGACTGTTAAACCAAGGATCTGTTTCCCTCTCAGAGTTCATGGAAGATCCCATCCACTACTTTGAAGAATAACAAGGGAGTTATTCCAGAGGTCCCAGCCCCTGTTTATGCTTCAAACAACATCACTTAAAATGGATTATCTGATAATTATCTCATCGCTGTTTGTTGGTTCTTGCCATGTGCAGATTGGCTTTTGTGTTGTCTGCATTACAACAATAACTATATTTCATAACAACTTTGTTGCCTGTTAAGTGCTTTAGGACATGAAAATTTTGTTTGATCTTTAGTTGCCTTGAGAAACTGGTGGGCTCCTTAAACTGTTGCAACCCTTTCAGTCTTGTGCTTCCATGATGCCATTGGATATTGACATGGCCGATGAGGGAATGTCAGTATGTATCCTTTGGAAATGCTGGATAATTCAGTAATTCCTGAAACCAATAGGAGGATAGGAACAGAAGTATGCATTTTGTTCCTTGAACTCTTTTTGCCATTAAGTGAGGTTATAGGGGTGATCTGTTATCTATCTCCACATACTTTGTCTTTAAGCCATGTCTCTTAATAAGTTTTGTTAACAAAAATCTATCAGTCTCAGATCTAAACTTAACAATTTATCTGGCATTAAATGTCATTTGCAGAAGAGAGTTTCACATTTCTGTAAGTCCTTACCAGTGTATGCATTTCCCAGTTCTACTCTTGAAAGACCTGGCTTCAATTTTCGGATGAGATTCTTCAACTTTAGGAGTTGGTTAGGTCACGTTTGGAATACTGGAGTGGGGGTCAAAAGTAGAGGGCATATTTTTAAGTTGAGGGGTAAAAGATTTAAAAGGGACCTGAGGGGCAACTTTTTCACACAGAGGGTGGTTCGTATATGAAATGAACTGCCAGAGGAAGTGGTGGATGGAGGTACAGTTACAACATTTAAAAGACATTTGGACAGTTACATGGATAGGAAAGGTTGAGAAGTATATGGGCCAAATGCAGGCAAATGTGAGTACTTTAGTTTGGGAAACTCGGTTTGCATAGATGAGTTGGACTGAAGGGCCTGTTTCCATACTTATGACTGTATGAGTCAATTACATTCTAGACTCCTGTACTAGCAGAATAATTCCTTTCTATTTACTGTAACTGTACCTCTTTTAATCTTGAAAACTTAAATCAAATCACCTTTTAAATTTCTATATTTCAATCCTAGTTTGTGCAATTTCCCCATGGATTTTAACCTTTGGAGTCCAGGTATAATTCTGGTGACTCTACCTAAGGTCAATATATGCTTACTAAAATGCCGTGCTCAGTATTACTCTCAGTACTGCATGTGAGGTCTAAATAGGGCTTTGTATAGATATAGTATAACTACTACCTCCTAAAATTATGAATCAAAAGGACAGCATTCCATTATCCTTTTTTAAAATTTTCCTGTACCTGTGAACAGCAGTTTAATGATCTATGGACATGCACACCCCACAACCGTGCCCCCACCCCCAATCCCACCGCCCCGATCCCTGCAAACCACCATGAGTCACATCCTGCCAGTTATCTGCTCAGTTTGCAACTTCCTGACCAAGTCGATAAGTTTCCAACAATTACAGGGGCTGCAACTTTAACAGTCTATTATGAGGGACTATGTACAATGATTTCTGGGAGTCCATAATAAAACTATCTATAGATTTTTCACTGTTAAACTTCTTTATTCACCTCTTCAAAAAAATTCAAGCAAATTCCTCAGGTATGACTTGATGCCTTAAAAATCTATGTTGGTTCTCTTGGATCAGGCAAAATTTTTTCAAGTTATTCTCTCAGTCTATCCTTAATAGTAGACTAATTTTATCCTTAATAGTAGATTAATTTTCTGGTAATTCATTGATAGTTGAGTGGGGATCGGGTCAGGGTTTGGGGGCTGTAAGTGGTCTGGGGTGTGGGTGTAATTCAGGATGAGTGAAGTAACTGCAGGATCTGTTTAATAATAACTCAAGAATTAGATATTTAAATGGAGACTTTGAGGGGTCCAGGCATTGAGGAATTGCCTAGCGGAAAATTCATTTTCTTGGCAATTCCTTCAGAATGCACCAAGCTGGGGATTCTGCAGCGTCCAGGCATTAAGGAATTGCCTAGCGGAAAATTCATTTTCTGGGCAATTCCTTCAGAATGCACCAAGGTGAGGATTCTACAGGGTCCTCATGTGCAATTCCTATCTAGACTGAAATAATGATTGTCTAGCCAATGGAAAATCAGGGCTAATAGTTGTAAAACTAACAAAGGGAAGCAAGTAAAATAACGGTCAGAAGTTGTGCATTGGGTGTGAGAGCTAAAGAGAAAAGTAAAAGGTGTAGTATTGTAAAGCTGTGTGAGCGAGGAACACAGAATCATGAAATCAGAGAATTATTTTGGTGCAGAAGGAGGCCATTCAGTCCTTTGTGCCTGTCCTGGCTCTATTATCTGGTCCAGCTCTATTATCTATTCCCAGTCTCCTGCCTTTTCCCCAATAGTCTTGCAGGCCATTACTATTCAAATAACCATCAAAAGCCCCCTTGAATGCCTCAATCGAACCTGCCTCCTCCACATTTCCAGGCAGTGCAGTCTATACCCTAACAACTCACTGTGCGAAGAAGATTTTTTTCTCACATCACCCTTGTTTCTTCTGCACATTAAAACTATGCCCACTTGTTCATGTTTCTTTTACAAGTGGAAACAGCTTCTCCCTATCTACTCTGTCCAGTCCGCTCATCATTTCGAAAGCCTCAATCAGATCTCCTCTCAGCCTTCTTCTCCTCAAGGAAAACAGTCCCAAATTCTTCTTCTATCCTCATAGCTGAAATTCCTCATACCTGGAACCATTCCGGTAAATGGCTTCTGCATCTCTCCAGTGCATTCATTTTTCCTTTAACATGGCACACATAACTGGACACAGTACTCTAGCTGAGGTCTAACAAGTGTCTTGTACAATTTCATCATCATCATCTCCTTGCTTTTGAACTCCATGCCCCATTAATAAAACTAAGGACACTATATGCTTTGACAACAAGGTGTAGAGCTGGATGAACACAGCAGGCCAAGCAGCATCATAGGAGCAGTAAGGCTGACGTTTCGGGCCTATTTGCTGCTCTCTCCACCTGCCTTGTCACCATCAATGCATATATACACCTAGGTACCTTTGGTCCTGGATAGAATGCTACATGATAGCAACCATCTCTCTCTGCTTCTTTACAATTTTTAACGCCAACCGACAAAACTTATCAGAGACAACAAGGTGCAGGGTCTAGGCCCGAAACGTCTGAACTCCAACCTCTAAAAACTTATCAGATCTGAGATTTGGCGTGTGACGATTCATGATAATCCGGTCCAGTGAAATCCACTCCGCTGTAATGAAGCTGAGTGCAGTTCGATCCAATATGTCGGAGTCCAGTTCGGTTGTGTCTGTCTGCTCCAGTCCCTTGCTCTCACTGCAGGGAGGAGAGGGTGGGTGGCTTGCAGCGCATCACAGATCGCTCATAGTATGGAGCTACGGGTCCATTGACAGGCGTTTTCACTTGGAGAAAATTAGAAGCCGAGTAAAGGTAGCCGTGTCTTCGATTAAACCCTGTGCTGCATTCGAGAAGGAGCAACATTTATCCGAGTGACTGTATGGTAGGTGTTTTTGTGCTCTACTGGACCCCGCGGAGGTTTCCACAATGTGTTGTGTGTGGCCTGTATTGCTTCGTAAAATGGTATTAATCGTCAGTGTTCATTGCAAACTTAATGTCTATTGTTCGACTGACGCAAGGACAGATTGTATGCTGGAAAGTTGTGTAAAGCCGCAGAGCAAGGTGAATGTAAAGGTTAACAGTAGACTGCAACCAGGATGCTGGATACAGCAAAACCGGGATAGGAGCAGTGACAGCATTGCAGATACAGTAAAGACAGGTTACATGCAAATACTTTGGAGGGTAAGAGACAGGCATTGTGGTGAACGCAAGTAGTGTGCTATGTGTTCAGACACAATGCATCATCTAGCCACTGAGGTGCTTTTTCATGTGTGAACTGTTTTCTTTCTGAAACGCGCTGAAATGTAAAACCATTGCAAATCTTCTCAAATATATCATTCAGTGCGAATGACAACATTTTGATACTGTTAAGTGTGTTAAAGGTGGACATATAATGTACATTTATACAGATGTTCAAATTTCTGGGAAATAAACGTTTTAAATTTGAAAGACATCCTTTGGTATTGCATAGCTTGACTTTTTGTTTCTTTATATTGCCCCTCTCAGCAGAATGGAAGAAAAGTCCAATTTCAAACATCAAGAAGGTGTATTATACCAAGTGATGACATTAAGTTCCAACTTGGATATGAATAAATATTTTTTTCAGAACTCAAATTAGATTCTCATGCTTAATTCAGTTGTTTTAGAATAGACTTATTTGAAATATTAGCTAACCAGACGCTTCAATATTGTGATGTCATTATGTAAAACAATGTTTTTGATTGCTGAAGATGAGCTGAAAAATCCATTGCTTAGAAATAATTATTCATGAACACAGTTATGCCATTTTAGACTGTTTTCTTAAAATGTAATTTACGCTGGTAAACACGATATTATAAAGAAAACTATTGGTATTACATCAATAAATCTGTGGATTATACTTGAGCAGATACTTTGAGCTTATCATCTGTGGAATTGATCACAAGTAATCCAGGACTTGCTGTACAATTTCTAATGACTATCGCATTCCCATGCTACCCAAATATGCTAGCAATTCACTCAATGCTGTAATGCAGCAAATTTGTTGAAACAACACATATATGTAGTGGCATTCCATGGGGGTTTGTATTGGGCCATTGCTTTTTAAAAATTATATGTTGATGTTCTAGACTTGGATATATAGGGCACAATTACAAAATTTACAGAATACTCAAAACTGAAAAGTATAGGTTCATTCACGGGATGTGGGCGTTACTGACTAGGCCGTTATTCATTGCTAGGAGGGCTATTAAGAATTAACCAAATTGCTGTCGGTTTGGAGTCACGTGTAGGCCAGACCAGGTAAGGATGGCAGTTATAAGATATAACACCATGTGGAGCTGGAGGAACACAGGCAGTTTCCTTCCCTCAAGGGCATTAGTGAACCAGGTGGGGTTTTCCGACAATCAGCAGTGGTTTCATGGCCATCATTCAAGTCTTAATTCCAGATTTTTTTTTTTTTAATTAAATTCAAATAGTGGTACTTGATCCTGGGTCACTTAAGTTTTTTTATGATTAGCATAATTTCATGATTAATAGTCTGGTGATAGTACCTCTAGGTCATTCCTCTCTTCACGAAGGGGATAGCAATAGACTTCATGATTGATGAAATGGACAGACAAATGGTATATAAAACTTAATGTAGCAAAGCTTTAAGCGATACAGTTTAGGAATGTAAATGAGGAGAGCCAGTAGTCAAGTGATACAGTTTTAAGGTGAGTGCAGGAGCTGATGCACCATGGGATATATGTACACAAATCACTGATGTTGATACGTACAAGTTAAGAAGGCTGTTAAAGAGGCTTCTAGGATCTTTGGCTTTGTAAATAGTAGCGTAGTGTTCAAAGGCATCGAAGTTATATGAACTTTAAAAAAACTTGGATTGTGGAGTAAAACATAAAGTATTGTGACCAATTGTGGGTGCTACCTTTAGGAAGGATGTCAGAGCTAAATTTACTTGGATGTACTGAAGAAGTTGGGGCTCCAGAAGCTATACTTTCTGGAGGACAGAAAGTTAAGGGGACGTTTGATAGAGGTGATCAAAATGATATGTGTCGATAAAGAGGAACTGTTCAGTGATGGAAGAGTTGATAAAGTAATTAGGTGTCGCAAGAGGGAAAAAGAATCACTGTGATTTGTTATGAACTTAAATGCAGTGTATGAAAGGGTGCAGTGTCAACAGCAAACTTTGAAAAGAAACTGACAAATAAGGTGGAAATCTTTTCAAAGCAATGGTGAAGTGCTTTTATTCATTTGGAACAAGAGCAGGTGATTAGGATTAATTTGACAGATCTCCAAGTAACAGGCATAAAGGCCTCACACGCAGTGTCATTCCATGATTGTATTACGGTAAAAGTGTTACACACTTCGCTATTGCTGACATGTATACAGATGTCTAAAAATCTGGATTCTGTTATTGTAAATTGCAGGTTCTTTTTGCTTTTACCTCTGACAGTGTATGAGCAGTGTTTGCTTCAGATGCTAATGTTTCCCTCTTCTCATCTCCAGTTTTCTCTCAATTGTTTACTTAATTATCAAGGTTTTTCCCTTTTCTACATTTTCTATGTGAATGTACAGGTCTTTGTGAAGATGTTGGTGTGTCTTGTTTATATATTCACCAATGATCAAGCAGCCACAACCGTGGTGCGTGCCTAACTAGCAATGTTCAAGGTCATCATCAGAGCAGTTCATGAATATGCCCAGATCAGAAAGGCAAAACATCAAATTCCCTTCAGCAATACAGAAAACCTAAATTTTACTAGCTCAACATTTCCAGTTAAACTGAGTAAATTAACAGAGGGGAAGGAACCTGCAATTGGTCTTTGGGTGTGGATGATGATTTGAAAGAATGCATATCAGATGCAAGACTGTTGCTTAGATCAATAGATCTTGCTGTTTCATAAGCGCAAGCAAAAGGATTTCAAGTTTAGATTGACCTTTCTTAGTCAATATAATTAAAGATTGCAATGGAGATCCATTGTTTAGTGTTTTTATGGCTTGGTATGTATTTCTTTTCTATCTTGCAATATTCACTAGCAACATTTGCATAGTTTCTTATTACATATTTTAAAATTAGAATTGTGTTGAAGGTTTACTGGTATAATTGTCATATAGTAGATATCCTGAGTAAGGTTTGTGAAGTTTGATATTTACATTAGAAAGGTATCTTTCAAATTTACTCAACAACAAAAATACACCAATTACAAATACACAACTATTGGGAGGATACTTAGAGGAAGTGAAGGGCCTTGGAATGAGTACTGTCAGAATCTAGAGGTAGCAAGACATGTTCATTAAGTGGTTAGGAAGACACTTAGAATCCTTTTCTTTATTAGACAATGTATAGAATGTAAGAACAGGGAGGGTATGCTGGAACTGGCTAATCATTTAATCAGGTCACAACCTGAGTGTGATTTTGTAGTTCTGGTCACTTCTTTGCAGAAATGTTGTAATTGCACAAGAGGAGATTTATGAAGATTGGAAATAACACAGGAAGCATTGAATAGGCTGTGGTTGTAATCCTTGGAACAGAAGAGACTGAGGGGAGATTCGATTTGAGATGTGCAAAGTTGTGAGGGTGTGTGGATAGAGTGGATGGGAAGCAATGTTCTCTCTAAGCTGTGTGGTAGCAGAGCCACTTTGAGGTTCTGCCGTGCCAACTTGTACTAAGCATTGATTTCCAGTTCCAAAAGCTGACCTCTGAGATCTGCACAGCAGCAGGAAGACTTACAGGGAACGGAGATGGGAAGCAATCAGTGGCTGAGGGCTACAGTCATAAAGCAATCGGAAGACAATTAGAGAGAAGATGAGGAAGTAGTTTTCAGTCAGCAGTTCGTTGGGATCTGAAACTCTGCCTGAAAGTGTTGTAGAGGCAAAATTCCTCAGTTTGTTTCAAAGGTGTCTGGATATTTGCCTGAAGTGCTGTAACCTGTTGGGCTGTGGACCAAATGCTGGAATGTGAGATTAGGCTGGGTGGCTTGTATTGTGGCCGGCACAGAGTCAATGAGTCAGACGGTTTCTTCCTGTGCCTTAGTCTCTCTTGTGATTCTATAAAATTGTTTCAAACATATACCAGGACATTTTTTTTAAAAAATATGGAGCCTAAGAATTTTAATAATTGGTTGCCTTTTAGCCAATGTTGAACTCTCTTTACCTCGTATGTTTTGAGATTGACCATCTAGTTACTTTTGGAATAGTCTCTGCCTAACCTAATAGTTCTCTCATACAGCCTGTGTTCTTGACAGTGACTTGTTGGACTGGAATATGAACATTGGCTAATGAAATTGTTGAATTCATTTATAGTCCAGTTCTTACTGATTTGGCCAGATTAGCAGTTTGATTGAACTTCTTTTTTCACTGCTCCGGAGATGAATATTTAGCTCTGAACAGTTGCCACACACCATGATGTAGATAAATGGCATGTGTTGCATGCTATGTGTCTAAAAATACATCACATCCTTGCACATATTTTTATTGAGATTAACATTCTGAAAGTTTAGCACTTCAAGGCAAATCAGTCCTACCCACTTTGCTGTTACAAATATTCTTCCCAAAGTTTAAGGATTTGGAAGTGTCAACGATGGATTTCTTCACCTCATAGAAAAGATGTTGGGAGCCTTGAACAACCTCTGTCTTCTTAACAGAACATTCTAAAGATTTCCTTTTGAGTTAAGGAGCAAGTAGAGTTCTTCCCAATCTTTTCTGTGAGGCTTTTTGGACGCTATCTTTATCAAGGAAACTGGTGAATAGCTTTCAAAAAAAGGGATTGATAAACATATAGAGAGATGTTTGATTCATGTATGCTAGAAAGATGATAGTATCTGAGGAAATGTGGAAATAGTTCATGATTGGGATAATTGAGTGAGGTTTAGGTAGTGTATTGGGTTGTGTTAATTTATTAAAAGT